CCTCCCATCCTGTACCCATAAAAAACCCCAGGCTCCACTAGCAGAGTGGTGTCAGAGGGGCAGCAGAGTGGAACAGAACAGGCTAGAAGAGAAGCAGTAGCTGTCAAAAAGAAGCAGTTTGACTTCAGAGGGACAGCTTGAAGGTGAGATTTCAGAAGGACAGCTTGACAGTAGGACCTCAGAGAAGAGTTCAGCAGGGGACAGCCAAACTCCAGGGGAAGACCACCTTTCCACTCCATCCCCTTTCCAGCACCCCATCCCACTGAAAGCCACTTCCACTCCTCAATAAAATCCTCCACATTCACCACCCTTCGATTAACTGATGCGGCCTGATTCCTCCCAGATGCCGAACAAGAACTCTGGTACCAAGAGGGCTGGTGCAAAAAGCTGTCATCCTGACCCTCCACTGAGCTGTTAAACATTTAAGCTGTTTGTAGAGAGCAAAGGTAAAAGAGCACAATGTAACACATGTCTTCTGGGGCTTCAGGGGTCATGGATACCCCACTAGATGCTGTCATGGAGCCACATGAAGTTCTATTCCTGCCAGCGTGCCCAGAAGCACTTGTCCTGGCCCCTCTACCTGCTCACCTGCATGCTCCCCCCGTCCCATGAGAGGTTAAGAGGTTAATGAGCCAACCCCTTAGCCAGTCCTATGAAGGTGTCAGGGAAACTACCCATTTCAGTACTACTCCTGACACTCCATAATCAGTGTTGTGACTGTTTCTTTTTCTTTTTAAAAAAATTTTAATTTAATTTAATTTAATTTAATTTAATTTTTTGAGACAGAGTCTCTCTCTGTCACCCAGGCTGGAGTGCAGTGGTGTGATCTCAGCTCACTGCAAGCTTTGCCTCCCGGGTTCATGCCGTTCTCCTGCCTCAGCCTCCCAAGTAGCTGGGACTACAGGCGCCCACCACCACGCCCGGCTAATTTTTTATATTCTTAATAGAGATGGGGTTTCACCGTGTTAAGCCAGGATGGTCTCGATCTTCTCCCCTCGTGATCTGCCCGCCTCGGCCTCCCAAAGTGTTGGGATTACAGGCATGAGCCACCACACCCAGCCTGTTGTGGCTGTTTCTAAGAGAAAGCATTCTCTTAAGTCTGTGTGGTATAACAGGTTTTTAAACTTTTAATTCTTTTTAACCAAATTAGAAGCCAGGGAAGGCTTAGCAGGAATGATATCTCCTTTCAAGGTGAACCAAGATTCTCTGAGCAAAATAACAGGACATCCAAAGTTCAGTTTTAGAAGTTCTACATTAGCTACTCATTAAAAATAAATAAAAAGTCTAATTTATCTCCAAAAAGGAAGATATTACAATTAAGAAATTTTTGAGGAACAGTGATTTTCTTACTTTTGAATATATGAATACTTCTTAGTTTTATTATATGAAGGAAATCCCTAACTTCAAGTCAAACCTAATTTTTTAAAAATTCCAAATTTGCTATGTCTATCTATATTTATAGACGAATTCAATATTTGAAATTAAAAGAGAAATGTAAGTGCTCTTTAAAAATTATAAATGGCCAGGAGAGCACACAAAGAATAAAGGGGAAAAAGATTCTGGAACCCTAGAAATATCATTTTAGTCTTTGAATCTCTGCAGACCCTTCATAAAAACAGAAAAGGCAAGGAGGATATCAAAACCAAAAACCTACAGACATTATCTACTATAAAACCAATATTTGGGAGGCTGAGGCACGAGAATCATTTGAACCTGGGAGGCGTACGTTGTGATGAGCTGAGATCATGCCACTGCACTCCAGCCTGGGCAACAGAGTGAAACGGTGTCTAAAAAAAAAAATATTAGTGGGTAGGGATAAATTGGTAGCACATATAAAGACACACACAGTTTAAGAAACTGTAGGAAAAAATGGGAGTAAACCAAGAAAGACAGAAAGCAACAAAATCATCATCAGATACTTTCTGGATACCTTAGCAGGCCATTCCATTCTGGGAATAGCAACAAAAACTAGCTGAAAAATGTCATGAGATAAATTTACCTTTATAAGAGAAGAGAAAAAGTATATAAAACTAGATAAATCCTTTCCCAAGGGAGGATTTTTCCCTTTCCCAAGGGATAAATCCTTTGTAGATAGATAAATCCCTTTCCCAAGGGATAAATCCTTTGTAGGCTTTAATTCAAAGTTGAAAACAAAGAAGCCACATGAAGGTTCTCTGCTAGGGATATCTGGGGGTATGGGTCCAAAGCACATTCAAAACCAATAAACAGAAGCACCCTAGTATGTTAAAGCACCAACCTGAGAAGTCTAGATGGACCAAAAGAGGTGCACTAGGAACAAAGGAAAGACAAAGTACAGGCAAAGCACGGCCACAGAGGTGTTATTTTGACTCATCCCTTCCTCCTAAAACTAGAGAAAGCTCTTTTACTTAAAAAGGAACAATAGGGCTAGGTGCAGCAGCCATGCCTGTATTTCTGCCCTTTGGGAGGCCAACGTGAGAGGATCACTTGAGGCCAGGAGTTTGAGACCAGCCTGGGCAAGATATGGAGACTCCTCTCTCTACAAAAAGGAAAAAAAAAAAAAAAAATTAGCTGGGCATTGCAGTGTGTGCCTGTGGTCCCAGCTACTCTGGAAGATGAGGTGGGAGGATCGCTTGAGCCCAGGAGGCCAAGGCCAAGGCTACAGTGAGCCATGATAGTAGCAGTGCACTGCACCCTGGGTGACAGAGCAAGACCCTGTCTCAAAAATATATATATTATTTGATATATTAATGACAGAAAGAAAAAGAAAAGACTAAAAAGCAAAATAATATCACTACAGGAAACACAAGCACATCAGAAACACCCAGTCATAAAGTAAATAAATACTGTAACCCAATATTTAATAAGCTAAAAGAAATTAAGAAAATGACAACTATAAAAGTCAGACTTGGAATAACTTAGAAACAAGGTGATGAGAAGAGAAAAAATTTAAAAAATATTTCAGAAATGAAGACTAAATTAGAAAAAAACACAAAAGGTAATGACTGAACAGAAATAAAAGATGGAAAGTAAGAAAATTAAGAAGAAATTAAGAGATTAGAAAAACTCAAGAGAAGGTAATAGCTGTAGATGGCCAAAGAACATGTAAGCTTCAGGCAACAGGAATCTCTGAAGAAAACTGAAGTAACCAAACAGAAAATACTGAAGAAATAATGTCATACAAAAATATTTGAAACTACACAGAAGAATCTACTATGTACCTAGCAATATCAGCCAAAATGACCATAATTAAGAAACCTGTAGTAAAACAAATGGACTTTAAAGGAAAAGAATTATTTGAGCATCTAGGCAAACAGACTAAATCACTTATAAGACAAAGAAAGTCAGATTTTCATCACACTTGACCAAAATACTTTATGACAAAAGAAAATAGATTGGCATATCGAAGATACTCAACAAAAAATTACTGAATCAAGATTGTTTTTAATCTAGCCAAAACCACCTTGAAGATTTTGAGCAAAAGAATAATTTTATTCACATGGAAGAACTTGGGAATACTGTGCCCATGAGCCCTCACTAGAACATCTATTGGAGGATTCGTTCCAGAAAACCGAAATGATTTTTAAGATATCAACATAAGGATTTGTAGTGACTATTACATATATATTTACTTATATGACTAAGAATAATGGTTTGAGGGAGAAAGTATAGTAGGTAATGACATGAATGTAAGAATATATACAGTAGAAAGTTCACTGTCATCTTTCAGCTATAAACTTTAAGTTAAAGCATACTAATTCAAATTAGATTCTTCAGAAAGGAGGAGGTAGAAGACACTGGTTAATTTGTTAATTTTAACAACTCATGTATCTATATAGCACTAAAGTATGAGAACTAACAGTCTGTACTATCTAATACTGTCACACCACTCTGTCAACTTATCATTGAAAGTTTAATTATAGTTCAAATTCATTGAAAATGTACTACATGCCAGATGCTTCTCTAAGCACTTTAAATATATTCATTTTATTCAACTCACCCAGCAACTTTAGAACGTAGATGTTATTAACATTTTCAATGTACAGACAAGGAAATTAGGAAATAGAGCGGACATCCAAAATATAAGCAGTCTGATATCAGAGCCTGTTCTCTTTCCAACTGCACTATCATGATAAAATTACACAGCTAATGGGTGTGGTGGAGGCTGAGGCAGAAGAATCACTTGAACCCAGAAGATGGAGGTTGCAGTGAGCTGAGATCGCACCACTGCACTCCAGCCTCGTGACAGAGTGAGACTCCATCTCAAAAAAAAAAAAAAAATTACAAAGCTAAAATGAACTTTTACCCTCTGCTTTTGATGAGAATTATGTACGATGTTAAAAGGTCATCCCATGTTTAACATAAACTCTGATTAGAAGTTATATATTTTAATGAAAACAGGGTAATTAATTAAAATATACAAAAATAAGTTTGGCAACAAAATGCTTGAAAGTTGTCATAAAAATGATTAATGGCAGTGCTTGGTGGTAAAATTATAAAAAGTTCCTATAGACACCCTCACACTTATTGCATCTTCTATTTTCCTAGCCCTAATATTAGATATGAGTTTAACTATGAAGTTGGTCACTTCACATTCACTCGCTTTTCCAAAATCATGATTATTTCACCTTTTGTCATCATGCCTCTTATTTTCCCCCTCCCTCTTCTTAATCTCTCTAATCTTCATAGAGTCTACAAACTTTACTAAGCATCTAGCATGTGCTGGCCACCATGCCTCTTAAGACAAGTCTCAGCCTTATTCTGGGGAGTGCAGGCATCAGGCAGGGCTTCCTAAAGGACATCACACATGGAGACTGGAAGAAAATCCGCAAAAGGAATGAAAAGGGTGACGGAGTATGTTTCAGATCCTAACTGCTGGCAGACCAAAGGATCTCATCGAGGCAAAATAATAAGAACATTATGATTAAAGGATTTTTATGGTTTCTTCCAAGAAAGATATCTTTATGCTATAAAAGTTTTTGGCAATCAGAATTTATCAAAATCAGTCTTTGAATACTTACATTTAATTCACTTTTTAGCACTTCTTCAAGAAGATGACCTACATGTTTGTTATCTTCTTTTGAATCCATAACTACACAAATCTCTTGGGAAATTATCTCTGAAATGAAAAAAAAAGAGTTTTAAGTTTCAAACAAAACATGTAACAAGGGCCTAGGATGCTGAAACATAAACTTACCTGATGTTCTTAGCTGTTGACTAAGAATAGGGAGGTTTTGATTTCAGGCCAAGTGGAGTAATCTGTGTACACAATGAGATGGCCCTGATTCAGTTTATTACCCAAGTCCATAAATCTATCCATTAAACACTCTGTGGGTGAAGAACCAGCCATTGTGCAACTAACAGAAATAAGATATTTTAGGATGCATTCAGAAGGGAGTAACTAGAGGTGACAACCATTTGAAGTTCAGCAATTCAATCCTTCCATGTTTATAAGGAGTCTCCCAGAACCTAACAGATTTCTACTTCTCAAACAGATTCATTCTTTAGGCCATAGGTTATCTCCTGGGCACAGATTCATTGTGCCATCCAGTGCGCTGGTTAAGTACATCGTGTTCCTTGACATTCCTCTAGATTTTCAATTCAATACAATTAATTTCCTGTTTTGACTATTGGAAAAAGCAAATGAAAGAATTTTCTTCACATCTGAAAGACTTGAGATGGTCTGGTTCAACATTTATAAACTACGTGACACAGTGATAGTCATGTCACCTCTGAAAACCCTGCATGCATTCTTCCAAAAGATATGAAGTCCTCCTCTACAGCAGGAAAATCAGAAGGCACCCTAATTCAAGGTAACTTGACCTCTTGTTATCGTGATACCAAGTTCAACCATGAGCTGAAGTCTGAGTAGAATTTTTCTTAATCCACATCTTTCTGTCTTATAATTAACACCAATTCTTCTAAGTCTCAGGCATCCTATAGAGAAATTGCCTATATAGCTGCCAGTTAAAGAGCCATTACACAGCATTATATCATGGATTAAGAAAACAAAGTCTAATTTTAAGATAGGATTCCTGAATCAAAAGTATGTTTAGCTTTTGACCCAACTGCTTCCTACCTGAGCAACTCTAAAATACGATCCATTTAAATCACTGATGTAGCAATAGCTAATAATTCTTTCAAGCAAAGCTAGGGAGAACAGGTTATTGAAACTAATATCACCAGTTAATAGCACTGCTATTACTATCTCCTACTTAACAAGAATATTATGTATTCCAGGAGCTATATGCTATATATGAATACGAATCCTCATGATGACCATACAAGATCAGTATCATTCTGAATCTATGTAACAGATTCAGGAAGCTTGAATTCAGAGAAGTAACTTGGCCAAGGCCACAGGGACATGAGTAGTAGAAAAAAGATTCAAATCCAAAAATAAATAAATAAATCTGTATTTCTGAGTTACATGATGCTAATAAAATTCAACATAATTAAAAACACAAATGAATGTTTTAGACAGTAAATGCTATAGAACATCATTGTGGAGAGAGAAACTGGAGACAAGATCAGATAACTCTAAAATACAATGAGCTAGGAGCTCACTCTTGAAAGGGGAATAGGTTTTGCTTAGGAGTGGGAGAAAGGAGCTTTACAAACAATCAGAAATGATAAGAAAGAAACAAGATTTTAATGTGTATTGAGGTAGGTAGTCACATAAACATAGTGTGACCAACAACCAAGAGAATTACTTGAAAGCTATATTAGTTTGTTTTCACACTCCTGATAAAGATATCTCAGAGACTGGGCAATTTACAAAAGAAAGAAGTTTATTGGACTTACAGTTGCATGTGGCTGGAGAGGCCTCACAATCATGGCAGAAGGCAAAAGGCACATCTCACATCACAGCAGACAAGAGAAGAGAGCTTGTGCAGGGAAACTCCCCTTTTTAAAACCATCAGATCTCATGAGACTTATTCACTGTCATGAGAACAGCATGGGAAAGACCTGCCCCTAATGATTCAATTACCTCCCACAACACATGAGAATTCAAGATGAGATTTGGGTGGGGACACAGCCAAACCATATCAAAAGCCATAAAATGATTTAGTAGTGAGTTCTAAAGTGGGATAGTTAGTGAGATCAAATCAAAGGGGTCCTTTGCTGTCTTGGACACTAGAGTGTCCTAGGGCTTTCATTTAGAAGTTAACTCATAAAAACAGTGGCTTTTGAAAACAAAGTTAACCCAAACTTATACATCATGAAATTACATGTTTAGAGAAATCTGGGCTTTGTAATGTCTTAGGCTAAAGCCTCAACAGTTCTATTTCTGAAAGCTCCTCATGAAAACATTAGGAAAACAAAAAAAAAAAAAAAAAAAAAATGTACAAATACAAAGTAATCTGCAAATGCAACAATTAATGTGATGGTGCCACAAACATTTACATAAATTTGTAAAATAATGTATAACATTTAGATAATTTAATACAAAACAGCATATGTAGGTTTTCCTTGCTTTGTTTCATCATATATCCTTCTTTATAAAACTCTAAGCTCTACCCAGCAAGTGTACAGTAATAAAACTGGTATATTACTACCAACTTACAAAAATGAAATATTTTTTAAAAATGAATTCAAAATCTATTTGCTGGCCAGGCACAGTGGCTCACATCTGTAATCCCAGCACTTTGGGAGGCCAAGGTGGCAGATCACTTGAGGTCAGGAGCTCAAGACCAACCTGGGCAACATGGTGAAACCCTATCTCTACTAAAAACATAAAAATTAGCTGGGCATGGATGGTGCATGGATGGTGCACTCCTGTAGTCCCAGCTACTCAGGAGGCTGAGGAAGGAGAATCGCTTGAACTCGGGAGGCGGAGGTTGCAGTGAGCCAAGATCATGCCACTACACTCCAGCCTGAGCAACAGAGCAAGACTCTGTTTCAAGGGAAAAAAATCTATTTGGCATTTATCCTATGCCATGTTTCAGTTACCCTAAATAAAAAACATTTGTTGTTTAGCAATCTTTCATTGTCACATAAATTTTTACCATCATTTCCACAAAAACATCTGTTGAGTTTGGTATAGAAATGACATCTTTAAAATAACAAGCCTTCCAATTAACATGATTTGTCCCCCATGTCTAGAAATCTTTAATTTGTTTCAATATTGCTTCATAGTTTCCAGTGCAGATCCCTTTCATCTTTTGCTAGATTTATTCTTGTTTGTTGATAACGCTATAAATTGATTTTTAATTTCCTATTTGTTGTTATGTACAAAAATGCATTTTGATACAGACCTTGTATAGTCAGTAACCTTGCTAAATTTACTTATAAACTGATGTTTTATAGATATTAAATTCTCAGTATATACAAACATGCTGATGAATGATAAAGTTTTATTTCTTTCCAATCTATAATTTTATCTCATAATGAAAATTTTTAAATATTGGCTCTATGCTCATGAAAAAAAAATTAGCCTGCAATTCTACTTACTTATAAGGTCCTGTCATATTGTCATTAAACAATTATACTATCCTCACATAATGAGTTAAGTGTTTTTTTCTACTCTCTAGAAGTGTGCAAGATTGGTGTCATGTCTTCTTTTGAATTGTTTTGTAGAATTCACTGGTAAAAGTCAACTGCTTCTTTGTGGGAGAGCTTTTAATAAAAATTCAGTATCTTAAATGGATGAATGACTATTCACATTCTCTATTTTCTGTCTCAGGATAGTATGGTGTATTTCCCCAAGAATGTGTTCATTTCATCTAAATTCTCATTAACAGTAGTATAATGTTCATAACGTCTTAATGTCTGTAGAATTGTATTGATTCTTTCTCATTTCTGATACTGATTACTTGAGCTTTCAATATTTTTCATGATCACTCTTGCCAAGGTCTTAACAATTTTATTACTGTCATCCAAGGAAATCATGATTGATTCTGTCTTGTATGTTTGTTTTCTAGTTTATGGGTTCTTGTCATTTTCTTCAGTATTTTCTTCCTTCCACTATCTTTGAGTTTTGTTTGCTGCTTCTCTTTTTAAAAACGTTTAAGTTGCTGACTCTCTTCCTTTTTTCTACTACTTATATTTAAGGCTCTAAATTTTCCTCTAATAACAATTTTAGCTGTACCTCAAACATTGTGATATATTCACTCAATTTAAATGACTTCACATTTAGTTTAAAATATTTCATTGCTTTTCACGTCTTTCATTTAGAATCACATTATTAGAAGCATCTAATTTCTATTGTGGTTTCTTATTTCACTTATGGATTATGTAGAATTTTATTGTTTTTATTAGAATGGTATGTAACAAATTACTATAAATTTGGTGGTTTAAACACCATCCCATTAAGTAGTTCACAATGCTACAGGTCAAGAGATGGAGGAGGAGGAGGAGAAGAAAGGGTGATATGGAAAAGGTGAGAGGGGAGTATATGCACAGAAATGATAAAGTAAGTGAGGCAAAATGTAAACAACAAGGTAGGTAAAAGATAGGGAAGCTACTTGTGTTATTCCTGTATCTTTCAGGTTTGAAAGTTATTAAAATAAAAAAGCACCCTCTCCTGAAAACAAAAATTAAGAAAAAATATATGAAGCTATATTAATAGTAGGAGACTTTAAAGTTCACTTCTCTTAAGATAAGTGAGCAAAATATAAGGATGTAGATTCTAGGCAAAGTAACATCATAAGAAATATGGTGGATTTGTTATTGTATTGGTTTCTATATTGTCAGCTAATCTCAGCTATTTGCATTCCACAGGGTCTGCATCTGATAGGCCAATTTCTTACAGTGTCTATGGACCCAATCAGTATGTCCTTTACTACTACTGATAAATTCTCACTCTGTCTACATTCAAAGATTAGACCACATACAAAATCATCATCAATTTCTAATGTGATGGTTATCAACTGGTTGCACATCAGAATCAACATAAATATCTTGTTTTCCTTTCATATTTTCAAATACATATGCCTAGTGCACAAACAAGATACTAGCCTATATTTTTGTCCAAAAGTGATGCTGATGTACAGCCAGATTAAAAACCTCTGCTTAGCTATTGCACTGACTTTTTATGATGTGGGAATTATGAAAGGGTTTATCATATAGAACCTTTATAAATATGGTTTCATATATGATACCACATTTATATTTTAT